TACGTATATAATATAATATATATATATATATATATATATATATATAAATGTATACTGTTATGAGATTTAAGCTATTTAGTCTAAACATTTATGTTTTTGTGTTATAATTTGTTTTCATTCTAGAGCGAAAGAGGCATAATATACATATTTATGGTGGTTACAAGATCAGTCAAATCTACCGAACCCCTACAGGGATTTGTTAGTGAAAATAATAGATGAAATATAAAGTTTTTTTCTTAAGAAATGTTTGATAACTATTTGGAGATTATAAAGATTTTGCATGTGAAATTTGAAAATTTTCTGATGCATAAAACTATTTTTAATCTTAAAATGAAAATTACTTTGCACTTTGGATAGGCAATATGCAAACAGAAAAAAAAAGGCATAAGAAAAACGTTGCTCAACAAACCTTAAGACTTAATAAAAAATTAGATATTTTGCATATGAAAGCATTGTAATGTTTACTGATAATCTGACAAATTTCGTTAACATATGCTTACTAATTTAAAAGTTATAGCATGAAAACTATAACAAGCACAAAATGGTTAAGAGGTCAGTCCCAGGAACTGAGCCTGTGCTGAAAGAGTTAAGATTAAAAATACTTTATTTTTCATCTCAAAAATCTCAAATTCTATTGTGTAATCTCAAACCTCCTAAATAAATTTCAAACGTTTTTCCAGTAAAACTTTATGTTTTATTTTCTCTTCCCTAACTGTTTACTCATAACCACAAAAAAAAAAATCTAAAGTACCCATTTTTTCTTTCTAGAATGACTTCAAATTGTAACATGAAACTACATTTGTTTATTATACATAGCTTTAAACTCATAACAATATACATCGATTTATACTTAATTTCTATTGTTTTACTGCCCTTGAACTGAGTCTACCTACTATTTGCACCATTATAAGTTGTAAATCACTGGGCAAACATGCAGCTCATATTACTCTGTCGAATTACATTATGCATGAGCTGTTTGCGAGCATAAATCATGAATATTTTCTTATATTATTATTATTTATTTTACCTAATATGACCTTAACTAATCTAGCGAAATTCCTATTTTTACATTTTAGTTACTTTTATAATAATAAATAAAGAATACACATGAAAATTGCTTTTTGCTGTTAATTGTCAATGACACTTAACCCTACTTTTTTATGCTAATATTATTGAACCAAATGATTTTTTTACTTAATTAAATAATGCACCAAAGAATACAGAATAATAACACGTAAAAAGCAGACAATGTCCCTTAACTATCACAATTTTTCTAGCTTTTTAACTATGTGATAAGAGCCATTAAAAATTCATCTAAACTCCTTGATGTGTTTCCCATAGGAATAAAGCTTGAAATGAAAGAAAAATTGACAATTCTCTGTACAGAAAACAATGTAATGTAATACATAATTTGATATATGAAAATCTTAGCTTTCTATTATTTATAAATAGTATAATATTCAACGTCATAGAGAACTACTGGCAATTTCTGAAACAGATGTGACAGGTGGGTGTGGCAAGAGGGGTCTGATTTTCTATTTGATGGCCTTGTAACAAAGTAAGATTGAAGGTTATAAAAATTATGCTTTGCCTGAGCAATAACAACAGTATAAAAAGTAATTTATGTTAAATATCATATTTCTTAGAGCGGCGTTAAATAAATTAGAAAAGAGGGATACATAGAGAAAAAAGTCACATTTCAGGATTTTTTAAAAATATTGCCTTATAAAATAAAGAACTTAAAACTTATATACTATTAAAATATGGGTTATTAGGTATGTTTTTATGCTATATTTATTGGTATAACAGAAAAAGAAAGTAGTTTTATTAAATTTAACATAATTCACTACAACCTTGTGACATGTGCAGAAAAAGATGCCTTTAGAGAAAGGGTTAATTTGTGATGTATTGACAATTAAATGAAGGTTATAATGCACTATTAGATCTCACTAAGCAACTTGAATTTGTTAAAAAGTTATTGAATTACGAAAAACATTTTATACAGGAAGATGAGAAGTGAACGAAAAATTGTTTAAACATAGGAAGATACTTATAGCCAAAGAATAAGGAAGTCGCTTCTTCTGTCTTATGAAATGTGAAAATATGAACGACCCAGTTCTTTTTTAACAATAAAATGATTCAGCACGATGGCTGCCACAAAAAAATAGGAAAGAATGATTTTTGATTTATAAGTTAGAGATTTACTTGTTTGTTATTAAGCACAAAGCTGCATAATGGGTTATCTATGCTCTGCCCAGTGAGAGTATCAAAACCCAAATTTACAGATAATTCCAACACTTAATTTCTTCTTCAACCTTCAGAATTAAGTTGTGTAAAACAATAAACACACTTTATGTTATACATTTTGTGTTCATTGTCACATTCCTTGGTTTGGTGTATGGATGGTTGATCATACATTTTCCTTTTTTCAATTACATGCACATAAGGTGTTATTAAAACTAGTTAATTTAAAATTTTTCTCTATGTTCTCAACTTTATGGTCAAATATGATATTTTATTATGACAATACTGTAGCTTTAAAAAGCCTTGAAACAACACAACAGCTTTAAAAAAAATCAACGATTGATACTTTATGTTTATGAACATTATTAGATTTTCTCCCATGTCAAGGTTAAAATTTGATTTTCGATTCACTATAGTTGATGTTAATAAAACACAAACAGCTTTATCTTACTTGAATATGACGGATGTTCTCCCAAAAGTCTATATCAATATCACTATCACAAAGAAGTGACAGATCCTTTAGTCGCTGGTGATTGTTACAATGACGCAATAATGCAGCCAAAACTTGAAAATATTCATGACGAACTACCTGTTTGTGAGTAATAAGAGCTACACTTAAATAAAGTTTCTTTTCAATTTCATTGCTTGTTTACACAATACACTAAAATTAAACACGCTGTATTATTAGATAAAACAAAGGAGATAAATACCTGAAGAGTGCAGAATACAGAGATCAAAAAAGAATAATGATGTTGATAAAAATGTTTTTAAATTTTCAGTTATAAAAAGCTGAAAACAATCCTAGAACATACTGCCTTTAAATAAAAGCTTCAGCTTAGAAACAATATTTTCCAAAAGACTTTTTCTAATATTATAAGAACAATTACATCTTTGTCTTCATTTGTCATCAAAATATACAATTACAGCACAATGTCATATCTATAATGCATAAAAATATTAAGTACCTGAGCATCCATGTATTGAAATATGAAACCTAGAGCATAGTTTTGTTTAAAATAGAATTTTCGTTGACAAAACAATCATACTCGTATTTACAGAAACACACTTGGAGGTGTTTCAACTTACACAGGTTTATCTGATGGATATATTGGTATACCATAAAACAATTATTGCAATTTTTTATTTATGATTTTTAGTAATAAAATATAAAAGGATTATAACACAATGATTTCCCAATGAAAATAAATTATGGCTGGTGATAACGAGTACAAATAACACTATATTAATAACATTTCTATTTCATTATATCCAATATATTAATTGCATTTTTCATACACTTCTCTTGTACTAATATGAAATTTCATGCTCTATATCCAGATATATAAAACATCTATCAAGCCCACTCTTAATTATAAAAATACAAACATTAAAAGCAAAAACCATATTGTTTATCCTTATATATATTTTTTAAATACAAGAATATAGAGCCCCAAGATGGAAGGATAGTCACCTCTGATTTTGCCTTCAGCCCTTTCTTCACTTCTCCCAGTAAGGCTTCAGCAATGCAGACTCGAAAGGCTACTTTATCTATTTCCATCCTCAAGGCAAATTTGGGAGCCATACGCTGGAGTGTGTAAGAAGCTGAATCTCTTATTGACAGATCATCACTCTAAATAAAGTGGGGATATAGTTGTTTTCTATTTACAAACAATGATGACACTTGACTTTACCGATTTAAAGTTTTCACCACAACCCAAAATCCTTATTAAAATTTCTAATTTTTTTTGTGTAATTTTTATTTTGTTGTAAAATGAAAGTTAATTTTTTGTAGGAAAAGAAGAAACAACATTAAACTTAAAGTACACTGACAGTCAAAAAATGCAAAAAACAATTTTATGTAAATATGTTTATAAAATATACTTTAGAATACAACTAATCACATCTAACTGACTAAAAAAAATTGAGAATTACAAACCAACTGAAGTTTTGAAAATAAAACTACAAATGCACACAATTATTTATATATATATTTTAGGTCTCATGTTATTCTACTTCAGAAAAAGTGAATATATTTTCAGAAAATTTAAATTCCCCAAGTTTTTTATTACCATGAATTGTTTTTAACTATGCAGCATTTTTTAACATTACTCTTTTCTTATTATATTATCTATACATCAGTAATGCATGCCACCTATAAGTAAAACGTTTTTAAAAGGTCAAATACCCCAATAATTAGTAAGATAAAATTCTGCCTACATAAATAACACTTATTACTGGACATTTATACAAAGTAAATATTAACTTTTTTTAAACAAATGACTTTAAGAAACTATTTCAACACTGCTTGAAGCAGTTTGTTAATCTGATACCTTGTTACATGAAAAGTCTAACAGTAGTAGTCGAGATAGTTTAATTTTACAGTGCAAGAATTTATTACATTACACCTAAATTTTCTTATTCTTTAAACAGTATAAGTAAATTTTGTGATACTACTTATCTGCATTGTGTATTTATGGCAAAGCTACTAAGGTTATCTACTGCCATTCCTTTTTTGAAATACTAATCAGAGGGAAGGATGCAAGTAAGCAACATCCTATCAGCCACCATTCAAACTAAGTGATAGACTGTCACACTTATAATGCATTCATAGCTTAAAGAGAGAAGAATATTTAATAGTATTGCACAGATTCAAACCCAATCTCACCAACTCTGAAATCCAGGGCTCTACCACAAGGCCAACCCAAGCCCCTTGTGATATTACATTAAATTCTGTAAAACATGGTGAGGAACATAACACAATAAGTACAGCAACAGTCATTATATAGTCATAAAAGCTAAAAAAAATTGTTATTATTATTTTGTGCTTAAAATTTAAATTATAAAAATATAAATGTTTTATAACCTTTAATGCCTAAAAAATAATTAATAAAAAGATCACAAATAAAAGTTAAAGAAAATAAACTATATAATAGTAAAAACATTTAGGCACACAGTGATTTTTGTGTATGTACTATTTTATTAACAGCACCATATTTTTCTTTTCTACTTTGATAATGTACAAACTTTTCCGACCCTGGCAATTGTTGTTTGAATCCACAATGGACAAATTAAGAATGTAGAAAAAAACAACTTTTCCAGTTAACATGATTTTTATCAGAAATTTTAGGCTTATTGGTTTCTAATGTTTTACCAGCTTCAGGCATTTAAACTATGAATTTTAAAGTATTATATTGCATACATAAATAGTGTTTCAAAGAACCTTTTATCCTCATCACCTGGCCTAACTGACAAGTTCTGGTATTTAATGAAGGGCCTCTTTGGCAGTGACTTGTGGGAGCCAAAACCTAGATCTAAAATGCTTTTTTTACAGACATCCCAGATTTTGAACCCACAATGGACAAATTAAAATGAATGTAAAAGAAAACAAATCTGCACTTAACATGATTTTTATCACAAATATTATGCTTATTGGGTGATAATAATGTTTAAACAAAGCAACCATGATTTTAAAATACACTAATTGCATTGAGATAGACTAACAAATAATATTTATAAAAAAAACAACAAGATAAGTGAGAAAAAACTAAATTAATTGAAAAATAGATTTTTCTGCACTCACATTTCTGATAAAGTATGCACAGTTGTAGATAACAACAAGAACAAAGTCAATATCAATACTATCCATTTTCTCAAGAACATCCTGGGCTAATTTATAACCATCAAGTCTGGTATTATAATCTGGTTCTTCAGCATACTTAGGATTCCAGGAATTTAACTACAAAAAAAAATATTTTAATTTTACAGATTTAAAAAAACTGTTGTTTAGAACAATATTTCCAGTAACAAACTCAGTAACAGTCTTATTTTCTCAGTTGATCTTAATATTTATGTAACTACTTCAATTTAAGGATATTAGTGAATCAGGATCATTGATAAAAACCTAATTAAGGGAATGAGAAAGAGCATTTCAATTTTTATGCATCCATTTATCTCCTGTGAATTGAATCTTCAAAACTAGGCAACTATTGAACAACTCAAACAATTTTATTCCAGCTACTATATCCATATTTTTTGTGAAGAACAGAAATAGATTATCTGGAAGTCTAGCTGTGTCAGATCTCATAAAGTTTGGAAACTTTTATTATTGGTCAGGAAGACAAGGATATCGCTAATATAACTGATCCAAGACTTGAATCAGTATAAAATACACAACAGAGGTTTGTTTTAAGAGGAATGGTTCCACTAGTATATACAAAAAAACAAAATAACCTACATGTCTTGACATTCAATTTTGTTATTTTAAAGTTCACCATCTTGTAAAGTTTAATTTATGTGGATGACAAAGACCTACAATTTGAACAATACCATGCTGAACAGAAAAGTAGTGCTCAGAGGCATACTAAATGCCTCTGTTACTGAATAAAACAATCACATCAAAATGGACCAATATGTACAAATACATAGAATAAGGTGCCAAAGAATTTTCAAAAGCTATTTTCTCTGCTTCATATATAATTCAGATTTTTCTGTGACATATCAAAACCTTTGAAACTACTGCTACAAAATGTGGTAGTATTGTCAAGCACAACAAGAGCTTCAAAATTTAACAGTCATCTTTAAAACCCTTTCACTGTATATATGAAAGATTGTGAAATATCAGAAACTACTTGCTGTATTCAAACCCCCAAGTCATTAAGAAACTGGTTTAATTTTGAAAACAACATTAAATAGCAATGGTTTCACTGATATGTGATTTAGTGGTTCAATCATACACTTGAAAAACAGTTTACTACTACAATGCTGACATCTAGAACAATGGAAATATGTCAACTTAAAAAAAAAAACATTAAACATAATATAACACTGAAATCTGTATGCCATTTTTATTTAAGTAATGATTTTAAATGTCATTAATTATTTATTACTAAAAACACAAAAACAGATATGGATCAGTCTCTTTACAAATAGAAAGTTAAGAATAAATTACAACGGTGTCTGTGTAAAATTTAAGAATGGCAAAGGTAATTAGTATAAAATGAGGTAACTTGCACACAGATATGCGGCAAAGAAAATAAAATTACACAGATAAAACTAAGAATAAGGTGATAAAACAATCTTAAAAATTAAACAACCGATGGTCATACATGAAAATTAATGTTGCAACTGTGAGCTAGTTTATTCATAAAGCTACTTTTACTATATAAAATACATTAGAATAAATATAAAAACAGTCAACACACATTTTAAACATCATTCTTGCAGTAGCACTTTAATAGAAATGTTTTGTTCCATATTAATCTACGTTCCTATATTGCAAATTTTATTTAATTCTACTCTTTTAATAGATAGCTCTTAAATGTTTATATACTGATGGTAATGTAACATTTTTATAAATACATGAAATTTTTCTAGGAATGTATTTAAATCCCCTAAAACTTGAATTTTACTGTTTTCACAAACCAATAAAATATTTTTGTGATGTTTTGAACAATTGGATGCAATAATTTTTAATATAATTATACTTAACATATTAACCTTCTCACTATGGGTAGTCAAAATACACTTTTTAGAGTTACATTTAAAATTTAATTAAACTACTTTATTATGATTGTATACAAATAAGTCTGGCATTAAAATGTAGTTAAAAAATCTAATTTAAACATTATACAAGTTTTAAATTCTTCATTTTACAAGGAAATATTTTAAAAAGTCCTCAATCTTCCCTAGTAGGAGAATTGTGACATTTGTTCTCTAGGTCTTCCCTCTTTTCTAACATACTTACCAACCCTCATAGAAGTACAGAATATAAAGTAAATAAGTCTTAGTAATATAAATATTACTAAGGCAAAGCATAATTTTTATATCCTTCAATTGTATTTTTTATGCCATGCCCACCTATTACTGTCTCTCTTATGACAGTTATAAGACACTGTTTACTTTGTGTGTTCTTAGTTGCATTATTTTCCTCAAAAAAAGAAACATAAAATGAGCAAATATAAAGGTTGGTCTTTAGTGTAGAAATGTTAATAACATTCTTAAGATTTTAATATTTTGAACCTTGATGGTGTCTCTATACACTTTCATATATTTTCTGACATTGTTTTGTGTGTGTATTGATATAATAAGGTGAAATAATACTTACAGATACAAATGTGAAGAGATATTTTATATGTATCCTATTCTAAATCCAATGATTTTAATAGTTTACCTTTTGGTTTACATATTTATTTAACACTGTTGGTTTGATTTGTTTCAACAATTTCAATTCAAGAATGTTTGATATTATTTTAATATGATCTGAACTTTCTAAACACATATATCTATTTACTGATAATGGTGTTCCAATTTAAATGCAACCGGATTAGTGTACTTGTTAAATACTGATAGGTCTTGACAAAGCTGTAACAACAAAATATTGAGCTAATGAAGTTACATTCTGGAGATATAGGTTGTGATTTATTTAGATTTAATTAGTATTTATTATGGTGGGTATACAGTTAGGGTAGAGAAAATAACAAAATATAAAGTTTTACTGAAAAAAAGTTTGATATTTATTTAGGAGGTTTGAGAGATTACACAAATGAAATTTCAGAATTTATTTTTTTCATCTTAAGATGAAAATAACTTGAAACTCTGAGAAGTCAACATATTCCACATATTCACAAAGTTTTAGTAAAAATACTTCATAAAAAAAAAATGTGATTTTCTTTTGAACAAAATACTTGTAATGTTTACTAAAAGCTTACTAAATCTCAAAGTTATAGTTATAAACCTTTATGGTTTCATGGTGGTTATGAGATCATGTAAAATACATAAAGCCCATTGTAAGAGGGTTATGTGAGAATCCAGAACATAGACTAAAGGACCGCAGCAAATCCTACACTTGGTGGAGTAAAGCTTAATGGAAACTATGTCTTATAAGTATAGAACTTATAAAACAATAATTTTCAACCATATTAAGTGAACTCATATTTTGTGAAGGTGATAATGGTGCACAAAGTTTAGAAATATATGAGTTCTGCCAGAATGTATTTTTTAACAAATTAATTAGTATATTTTTTGCATTTCAGAGAATCCTAAACTTTTGCAAATGCATATAAAAATATGAATACTGTATAAGTAATTCCATGGCTTCTATGCATCATTTAGTTTCTAGAGAATCAACTTACCTTGGATACAACTTCAGCAAGAACAAAAAGTTTGTTCTCTTTCTCTGCTATTGTGCCAAAAACAGAGCAAAGAGTGATTCTTGAAAGTCTCAGAGACAAAGTGGAGAACAAGGATGCCATTGGCCTATTGGTGAAAAATAAAGCAAGATACCAAAAATATATACATATATACATACACATACAAAGTTAACATTTTACAACACTGAAAATTTATTTCAAATAGATCAACTCCATTTTATATCTAGCTTTCTCAATTTAGTGCTGCCCTCTGTATGCAAACTTTTTGTCTCGCCACTAGTGTTGAGGCTCCCACCTAATCTCAAGTGATATTGTTCCACTACTGCATGCAAGAACCCTCCACCAATGGGAGTGCAATACTGCCTTCTAGCACAACTCTCTACCTCTATACTGATTGTTCAATCATCACTTTGAGAATAAAAAAGAAAGTAAGATGCACCAGGAAAGAGCGAAGAGTAGAAGTACATTTTCAGTGTTGGAAAATATTTGCAATTGATAAAATACGTAACCTCAACTAACATCTAACTAGAATCTCATGTTGAAGTGGTGAAGGGACTGGTACAAAATTTTACCTTCAGGAAGCACCCAAAGAGAACACATGGAGTGTAACACCCTATTCCTTAGAACAGTATGGAGGCACACTTGTGGGAGACTGCACCTTGACTATACCAGTGTACACTCTTCACTTGGAAAGGATAAGAAAGTAAGTGTTGCAAGGGAGGAAAAGATACAAGCGCAATCCAAAATCTGCATCAGGCTTTTAAAAGTGCTGTTTGTGTAATGTGGCTAGAGCATGTCAGACCATATGTGGTGGCAAAACTCCAGTCCAAATCTAGCCAGCACTATAAATTTGGCTTTACAGCTCCACTAGTAGGAGGATCCCTGCCATCTCCACCTCAAGCCCAGTGAGGCAAAATGGGGAATTAACATCCATTCTGCAACTAAGTGAGGACTTATGTTGGCTGGTCTTGCACCAATCCAACACCAGGCCACTCAGGAACCTGACTTTATTGAAGAGACAGGACCTGGAACCATGAGAGGAAGAAGTGTGGGCCAAACAACAAAATGTACCGTATGGACAAGACAGAGGAGGTGATATGGATCCATACAGGAATAAAAATGAGAAATGGAAAGAAGAGATATAGGTGTGACTGCACTATGACTTTCACGTGCCTCAGATGTTTTAGGGAGAAAAGCATGATCCAAATGGAGGAGCATTTGAACATAATTCAAGAAGAATCTATGATGTACACATCAGAACACTGATCACCACAGGTGGAAAGAAAGAGAAAATAAGTGTTGAGAGAGATGGTATAGGGAATAGGAAACCAAATGCTCAAAGGGAGGAAAGGTAAGGGCATGAAGAACAACATTAAGGACCCAGTCAACTAAGCTAGAAGAATAGGAAGGAAAAAACCTGACATAACATGAAAACCGGAAAGAAGTTTAGAAAGTCATCTGATAATTATTGATAGTCTGGGTAGACCAGTCCTGGTCAAAAAGTCATGTGAAGAATACAGATAGATGGGGAATGGAAGGACGAGAAGGTGAGAAAGATTGACAAAAAAACCAGTGGCAGTAAATATGACACTTCCTCCAATAAACTTCTAAAAAGAATGGGACAGGAAAAAGGATACATGTGAAGAGAGTCCTAACCATCCTACAAGGGGACCAGTAGATTCCAATGGCTGGATGGAAGAGAGAAGGACAAGGCTGAAGAAGAAGGGAGCAGGATAGCTGAAGGTGAAAAGAAGAGAAGGAAGTCAAAAACCAAACAATAGGGTGCAACTGGAAGGAGAGAGGGAGAACTCTAGAAGAAGATGAACAGGGAGTAAGCACAAAAGAAGAGATCTTACTAGTCCTGATAAAAATGCACCCACCACCGGTGCTGGTCTTTATTGAACAGGAGACCTAAATAGGGGAATCTTGGCACTGTCACAAGTGGCAAAGGCATCAATGCAAAAAGTGCCCAGACAAGAGCAGAGCTGCTGGAAAACAGAAAGACTGAGGGACCACTCTGATAAAGAAATACATAGAGAGATTCCATTAATTGTGTATAGTCCACAGAAAAGGATGCATGTGAACATAACTCAAGAGGAAAAAGGGATTCTAAGGAAGCCCAAGTCCACAATAAATAGAGAACTTCTTGTGAAGGAAGAAAAGGCAAGTATAGAGCTGTAAAAACCAAATCCTCCATGGCTCACAAATGCAGCAGAGAAGGCTGTGCCCTACTGAGACAGGAAGTGAAAAACATCCAAATGAACCAGATACTGGGTGGGTGTGAGATGAGACTTATGAAGCTTGACTAGCCAACTTGGAAGAGCTGCCTCCCAAAGAAGAAGAGTATGGTCAGAGGAATTCTGTTGAGATGGAGCTAAAAGTAGCCAGTCATCCATATAATGGTGGAATCTCAATCCCAAGCTGTGAATGTAATGATTGAAGGCATTTACTATGCAACAACCAAAAAATAAATATGTGGCGACGACAGCAGGCCAAAATGAAGAGCATGAAACAAAAACTCAACTGTGATGTACTGCAGGTTGTAGTCAAGACCTCAATGTGCAAGACCAAGACCTTGTAATAAATTACACAGTGAAAAATAAAGCAAGGACAATAAAAGTTACATGTATCTTAACCACAAATGTTTTACATGTTAATCCCACAGTCCTCCTATGAAAACAAAATTAATGGAAGAACAAAAAAATCAAAAAAGTCAGCAAATAAAACTAAAACCAGTATTGGTGTCAGTAAATTCTTTATGATCTTTGAAGCCAAACAGAATCACAGCAGATCTACTAGACATGTTGAATATCAGGGATAACGTTTTCTGTAAATACGAGTACCAGATGAAGCTCATACAAACTTGTAGAAAGCCTATGCATGATGCAATATAGAGTAGCAGTCAGTTTTGAATATGGCAATTGGTGACATAATCAAAAATAAGGGAGCCACTATAAACATCACTGTAAAGGTGTGGTACCAAGGGGTTTTTACTTGTAAAACATCTTTGATGCTACACCACTCCTCATATGAACTGCTGCATAATCAATATTTAGCACTTAATAATCCTGGGTAGGTGACTAGTCTAATACTGTTAACATTTTTAGCCAGTCTCATTTTCAAAACCTGTAAAATATTGAAACCAAGACATGGAGGGTCAAGACAAAGACTTCCGAAGGGTGGTTTCGAGACCTACAACACTGATGTACAGACCAAAGATAAAGTCTGAATGCTGGGGAGATGGGGATGTGAAGATAAGAATCAAAGACATTGACCATGGTCATCTAAAGTCCTGGACAAAAAGCCCATCAGAGGGGGAACAACAAACAGGTGAGAATAAAGTCATGGATAAGGGTAAGAAACCCTTTCAATAACATCCTTGGCCTAAAGATCTGACACCACCTTGGAAAAATGCTGGTGGGAGACATGATCCCCCAGAGGAGGGAAAAAATCAGAAATAGGAGAGGAAAAACGAAGGTAAAGCCAGTGGATAAAACATGTAGCCCCAGTGGTTGGCTGGAAAAGGAAGCTATAGATCCACAAATTAAGCCAAACAGTCCCCCACTGCTAATGAGCCCAGAAGATAATCACCGACGAGACTGTTGGCACCGAAACATACAGACAATGGAAGAACAGATGTGAGAAGAGGAACAGAATGGAAGAACAGGGAGTAGAAAAGGGTTGGGAGGATGGGAGACTTCTACTGAATGAGAAGAAGCTTGAGAAAGATGGGACACAATGGTAGTCAAGGAACAATTGTGGTACACGGCCTCAGCCTGTGACTACAAAGAACAGATAGTCTATCAAAAACCCTTTGGTGGAGGAAAGGGTCCAGCTGAAGGTCCCTGAAATAACAGGGAGGTAAATGTACTTGGGCAAGAAGGGCATCCCTCCCCAACAAATCCCAGCAACAGAGTAATCAAGTGAGAAGAGACAAGGCCAAGGAAGAATAACATGTCAAGATAGAAAATGAAGACAAATGAGTGTCTGCCAAAAACCCCACAGGGAGATGGTAGATTGCTTCCAAAAGGTGATGGATGGAGGATAAATAATGTAAAAGCCTGAAGAAAAGACTCCAGAGTTTGGAAGTACAAGAAAAAGGCTTCAGCTGGAATGTAAGCCAAGGCATATGTGCAAGCAGTCAAGAAGGACGAGGCATACTGGCACCAAAGTGAAGATGAGACAAAAAAAAATTTTCAGCATGGATTTGAATATCAGGAGGAGGAGGAAAAACATAATATTCTGAAGAAGGGACCGAATTTAAGAAGGGAAAATAAAGAATAATAAGAAATAGGAGAGAGTGGAAAAAGGTAATGTACCTGAGAATAAAGATCACAGAAGGATGCAGAATGTCAAGGTAGAACCACATCTCCCCTAGAAGAATTGTTTGCAAATTTAGAACTCAAGAAAGACTGCCTGAAATCCATGACCATACAGATGGGAATTATAGGAGGAGAGAAGTCTGATGAAAGGCCTGAAAAAGGCCCAGGTTGCGTGCATGACACCACTACCTGCCAAACAACAGCAATCAAGTCCCCTGACAAACAAAAAAGTCCTCATGCCATTGTGGCAGAGGCAGAAAATAAATAAAAATATATTCACAACAGTTGGTTTTGTAGATACTTCAACTAAACTTTGATGTTGAGAAACTTCATGGGAGTGAAAAGACACATCTTAACACGAGACCAGATCAAGAAGTGATGATTGAACAATCAATAAAGGGGGAGCCACTATGGTAGGAGGCAGTGTCACATTTGCATGCAACAGCACAGCAATATCACATGAGATCAAGTGGAGCCTTAAGCTTAGTAACAAGTTAAAAGTTCGCATATAGAGGGCAGCACTGAATCGGGAAAGCTAGATGTGAGAAGAGGATACATATCACATCAGAACTTATTTAGTGTGAGTTTAGCCAATATCCTCTTCAGGTACTGAAGTTATTAATGTATGTTCTATCTGTTTAAATCACAGAATATTAAATACAAAACGAGTGTTTGCGAACAACTTTGAATAATTAACTGTAATTACCAGACGAAAGAACAAGATTAATTGGTGTTAATTTTTAAATGCAACCACCTACCTAGATGCTTACAAAACTCTAGCTTTTAGACAAACAAATTATCTTTGGTAGACTAATCAATATGTTAGTTGAGGGGCCTGTAGAAGAGAATTTTAAAGCTACCAACCCAATAATAGTTTTGTAAAGAGAAAACACATACAACTGTAACTCTCCCTCTCCCATCTCGACTAATTTCAAATACTCCAAAGTTGCCAGTTAAAATACTCAAAAATAAAGATATACGAAAGAGCTGAACAGTAATACTTAGAAGCATTGTTTCCATGTTATGAAGACTACTAACAATAGAAGTTTATATTTAGTATCCTACCTTATAAATCTTGATGGTGAATCTACATTAAAAACTAGATTCTTTAGTGTGGTCAATACACCAACTTCTGCTGCATCCTAATGTTAAAACAAAGACATTACTTAACTTGCAAAATTCATCATAAACATGTATTTATTTAATAATCAACACATACAATCATAACTTAATGAATATGTCTTAAGTCAAATTCAAATCATCAGACAAATTTTATAATTATTTTTAATGCGGGTGTTTTTCTTTGAAATTTCAAAAACCAATCGGTTTGCAATGATTTTCATCTGTTTATACCTTCTTCAATATCAACATGCATATTCAACATTCAAAAACAGAATGTACAGGTTAAGGCTGAAATGTTGTATATACCAGCAATAGCATTCAGTATCTCCTAGCTAGTTCAATAAATTAAATAATATGATTATATGGTCATAAAGATCAAATATTTTATTCATGATGATAATGATATTAAAAACTTTTAAGCAACATATACGAAGGAACTGACGTGTTGGAAATATAAAACTACTGATTTTCTTAACATAGAGATAAAATGTATCTCTATACGTACTTAATAAATGTAGATGAAAACACAAATTAAGTGATTAAGGGCATCACTTAATGGAACAGTCACCAGAAGATTACAAAATTATCAACTAAGCTATATAGATTACTAAGAATAGGGAATTACACCTGGAGTGAGTGACATTATAGTTTTAAAGTTTTAGGATTTTTAATTTGAGTTTATTAACCAAGAAGTATTTCATATAATATGAATAAACTGTATAATACATTTTGCTGTGTTACGACAGCAGAAGTCACGTGATGCTGATGGCGTGCATGATGAGTTTCTCGAATGATCAGAGAAGTCCGAGTGTGTTCAAGATTCCCTCTTCGTTAGTATATAAGCCTGGCAAAGAAAGCCAGCAAGGATGAATGAAGAGAGAGCAGTAGTTACTTTCAGTTCTGTGTAATTTATTATTCTGTTAGTTTTGAGCTTGTGAGCCATAAAGTGTGTGTTTTGCACTCGTCGAGAGCAAAATTATCGAGATTGTGAATCGCTGTGATTTATACAGTGTATTATAAAAGTTGTTAAGTTTAAAGTGACGAGAAATGTACTGACTGTGGAACTACTGTGTACTAAAAGTTTATATTGAGGAAGAATAAACTGGTTTAATCAAGAAAGGACTTGTATTGCTGAAGATACTCGGAAAGAATTTCTACCAGAAACAAACAAACAAGCAGATACATAACAAATTGGTGTCAGAGAGTGGGACGGAAAAAAAAAAGAAAAGATGGAAACGAGAAGTGGCAAATCAAACTACAACTTAGCAGATTTGATGGCAGCAATACAAGAACTGCAAAAAAAACAAGAAGAAGGAGAAAATAAACAAGAAGAGAGACTACAGCAGTGGTTGGAGGAGAAAGAAAAGAAACAAGAAGAACGAGAAAATAAACAAGAAGAGAGACTACAGCAGTGGCAAGAAAACCAGCACCAGTGGCAACTGGAAGAAGAAAGGAAACAAGAAAAACGAGAAAAGAAACAGGAAGAAAGTCTCTAACAGTTACAGGAAAGTCAGCAACAGTGGCAAGAAGAACAAGGAGAGAGACTACAGCATCAGCATGAAGTACAAATGGAAATGATTAGTAAATTTCGAAGTGAATTAAATACATTAAAGGACGATTTACTGTCTTCTACACAGGGAGGATACATTAACCATGGACCTAATCAGCCCCCGACAACAAGAATCCATTTCCAGACCCAACAGCTAAACCTTAATGCAGACATCTTCAGTCCTGCCAGAAGTCACATTCCTGACATGAGTGTCAGCAATAGGGGTGATCTAGTACAAAGGAAGCCACAGGGATTCGATGGGAAGGCACCATGGGAAGCATATAGAGCACAATTTGAGCTCCTGGCAGAAATGAATGGATGGACAGAGGAGCAGAAAGCAATGTACCTGGCAAGAAGCCTGAAAGGACAACCACTACAAATACTTGGACAGTTGTCAGCAGATGACAGGCACAACTATAGAGCACTGGTAGCTGCTCTAGAAATCAGGTATGGAACTCAAAATCAGTCTGAAGTCTACAGGGCTAGGTTTAGGACAAGCATCCATACTAAAGAGCTGGCACAGGATTTGGAAAGTATGGCATGCAAAGCCTACCAAACAGCAACTCAATGTCATCAAGCTGTTGCTGAGGGATCAGTTTGGAGACGCCTTGGACAGTCCACAACTAAAGATACAAGTGAAGCAAACA